GTCAAAGACCTGCTCGTCTCGAATGCGGTCCTGGCACATTTCAATGAGGCGCTCCCGGTGGTGCTGGCCTGTGATGCTTCCCCCTATGGGGTGGGAGCGGTACTGGGCCACAGGCTGCCGGCCGGCTGGGAAGTCCCAGTTGCATATTATTCCAGGACTCTGTCAGCGGCTGAGCGCAATTACGCGCAGATCGATAAGGAGGCACTGGCGATTGTGGCGGGGGTGAAAAAGTTTCACCACTATCTGTACGGGTCCTCACAGACCATAAGCCGCTGCTGGGCCTCCTGGCCCCCGACCGCCAGACCCCCCATATGATTTTGCCCTGGGTGCTCCACTGGTCTATTTTCCTGGCGGGGTACTCCTACGCTCTCGTCCATTGCCCTGGCAAGGCAATGGGCCACGCGGACACCCTGAGCCACCTGCCGCTGCCAGTCTGTGACCCGGATCCAGCTCCTGCCCACCAGATCACTCTCCTGAAGACCCTTCCGGATCAGCCGGTCCATGTTGCGGAGGTGGCTCGCGGCACCTCCAAGGATAAGGTACTTTGCTGGGTCTTGGACTGGGTGGTGAGGGAGTGGCCCATGGCCAAAGGAGACCCTGACATAACGCCCTTTGCTTCCCGGAAGGACGAGCTGTCCGTCCACCGGGGCTGTGTCATGTGGGGTAGTAGGGTGGTCATCCCAAAACCACTATGGGAGTGAGTGCTCATTGCCCTTCACGAAACGCACCCTGGGGTGGTGCGCATGAAAGCCTTGGCCCGGAGCTATGTCTGGTGGCCGGGGTTGGATCGGGACATAGAGGACGTGGTGAAGCGGTGCAACCCCTGCCAAGCATCCCAGCCTGAGCCTCCTCGAGCCCCAGAACAGGCCTGGGAATCTTCCCACCGCCCCTGGTCCCGGTTACACTTGGATTTTGCAGGACCGTTCCAGGGGCAACTCTTCTTTATCCTGGTGGATTCCTTCAGCTAGTGGCTGGAGGTATATCCTGTGCCCGCCACCTCCTCAAAGGCGGCCATCCGGGCAATGTGGCAGATCTTCAGCGCCCAGGGAATCCCTGACACGCTGGTCACGGACAACGGGAAGGCGTTCACGTCAGCAAAGTTCCAGGAATTCATGAGCTACTACGGAATCCGCCACCTCCAGGCTGCCCTGTTCCACCCTGCCACCAACGGACAGGCCGAGCACATGGTCAGAACCACAAAGGATGCTCTCCGCCACTTGAACTCCCCAGACTGGGATTATAAACTGGTGGCTTTCCTTTTCAGTCAGCGAATGATGCCCCACACCACCACAGGGCGCAGTCCGGCAGAGCTACTTCTGGGCTGCCGCCTGGCAACCCAGTTGGATCATCTGCACCCCGACTGGGCATCAACAGAGGCACCAAGCATGGAGATGCACGAGGCAGCCAGGGGTTTCTTCCCGGAAGATCCCATGTACGCACGGAACTATGCCCGGGGGCCCACCTGGATCCTGGCACAAGTCATATGAGTTAAGGGCCCCAGATCGTATGAGGTCTCTTGTGAGGATGGCCAAGTTCTACACTGGCACATTGACCAGCTATGCCACCAGACAATGCCATTGGTCCCCGAGGACTCGGACATGGCTGAGGTTCCGGAGACCTCACCCCAGGCCCAACTCCTGGTGGCCAACCCCCGGGCTCTACCCTTGGTTGAACCTGAGACACCTCTTCTGGAGGCGCCGGGGACACCAGCATCGCCACCCCGGCACCTCTCCAGCCACCTCGCCTCTGAGGGCTCCCGGGGTAGAAGCCGCAGCAGTCCCTGAACCTCGCCGCTCTACTCGCACCAGGAAGTTACCAGCCCACCTGAAGGACTTTGTCTGTGGGTGCACTGCGGACCAAGGTGGGAGGAGTGTAATGTATCCAGTCCAGACAAGTCCAGACAAGTCCAGACAAGTCCAGAGACAAACATCAAGCTTTGTTCCAAGAGACAATGGACTATGCAGATCCTAGCCCGCTCCAATCAGAGGGCTAGGTTCCCGGCCGAGAGCCTATGGGACTCTCGGCCACTGTAAAAAACCTATAGGGAAGTAGGAGTGTGTTTTGGGTGGCAGTTTTGGGTGGCCACTGTGTGTTTGGGAGTGTGTTTTGGGTGGCCACTGTAAAAAACCTATAGGGAAGTAGGAGTGTGTTTTGGGTGGCGGTTTCTTGGGGGATATAAGCCGGCCTGCGAGCCGGCCAAAGTTGTCTTGTTCCTTATCGAATAAAGTACGCTTTGCTGAAATCACTTTCCGTCTGTGTACTTTTCACAAACCATGAACCAGGATGAACCTCCATTTTCCTGGTTCATGCCCATCCCTAGTCCTAAAGAACTAGGCTCTGACCACACAGTGGTATGCTGTGATCAATTTGCTACTTTGCATGAAAAAATCATCCAGATCCACTCTTGGTTAGATGCCAGAGTGGATGCATGTTCAGATGTACCTTTGGCACCTGCTTGTCTAATTTATATGGATATTTTTCAGCTTGTGGACCCCAAAAATGTGGACAAAATCTTTGGACAGGTGAGACCTACCACCTATGTTCTTGACCCTTGCCTTTCTTGGCTGATAAAAGATGCCACAGGGGAGAGTGGTTGAGTTGGTAAGGAAAGTGGTAAATGCTTCCTTGTGGGTGGGAGTTGTGCCACCTGTGCTAAAGGAAGCAGTGGTTAGATCTGTTCTGGAAAAAAGTTAAAGAACTTTCACCCAGTCTTCAATCTTCCAATCTTGGGCATGGTGCTAGAGTGGGTGGTTGCTTCTCAGTTCTAGGGGTTCATGGAAGAAACTGATTTTCTGAATCCATTTCAATCTGGCTCCAGGATGGAATTTGGAACATGGGCTGCTTTGGTCACCCTGGTTGATAACCTCTATCAAGAACTAGACAGGGGAAATGTGACCCTGCTAGTTCTGTTGGATCTTTCAGTGGGCTTCAGTACTATTAATCATAGTATCCTACTGAGCCACCTCTCAACATGGGGACTGAGGGACACTATGTTACACTGGTTGGAGTCCTAACTAGGAGAGTTGGTTTCAGGAGGGATTCCTGCTTTGCCCCATGACTGTTGGTCTGCGGGAATCTGCAGCATTCAATCTTATCTATTTTTTTATTTATTTTTATTTATACCCCAACTTTTTCCACAATGGGGACCCAATGTGGCTTACATAACTCTCTTCTTCTCTATTTTATCCTCACAAGGCTACCCAGCAAGCTCCCATGTCAGAGGGGTGATTCAAACCTGGTACTCCCAGGTCCAAATCCAACACTCTAAACACTACTCAATAATGGCTCTCTCAGGCTATTTAATATCTATATGAAACCAGTGGGAGAGGTCATCTGGAAGTATGGGTTCCAGTATCACTAATATGTGGATGATACCCAGCTCTATCTTTATTTTCCACCTAATTCTGAGGATGCTACTGATGTTCTGGGTTAATAGTGGGGTGAATGATGGTGAACAAGCTAAAACTTGACAAGAGGTTCTCTGGGCTAGTAGAAAGGCAGATTGGAGAGCTGAGATCTCTCTTGTCTTGGATGGGGTTATAATCCCCTTGAAAAGCCAGGTTTAGAGTTTGGGAGCACTGCTTGACACAGCAGTCACCTTAGAAAACCAGGTGGCTGCAGTGGCTTGGAGTGCTTTTGCCCAGCTTCAACTGATGTGTCAGCTGCACCTGTTCCTGATTCAGTCAAATATAGCCACAGTGATCCATGTCTTAGTTACATCTAGACTGGACTATTGCAATGTGCCATACTTGGGGCTACCCTTGAAGAATGTTTGAATACTGTAGCTAGTGCAGAATGCTGCAGCTAGACTACTGGTTGGAGCCAGCTACCAGGAGCACATGACGACAATACTACAGGAATTACACTGGCTGCCAATCTACTCCTGAGCCAAATTCAAGTTGTTTGTTTTGTCCCTTAAAGCCTACATATCTTGAATCCAGGGTATCTGAAAGACCTTCTTCTCCCTTATGTTCCTGCCTGGGAATTAAAATCACCATAAGAGGCCTTCCTGACTGTCTCACCAATCAAAGAAACTTATCTGATAGGCACACAAGAAAGGGCCTTTTTGCTAGCAGCCCCACAATTACAGAACAACCTCCCCTGGGAGGTGTACCTGACCCCTCACTTTTGATCTTCAGGAGGCACTTGAAGACAGTTAAATGCAGGACTGCATTTGGCTAATTTCGTTATTATTTATTGGAAGTCCTAATTGAGACTTTAAATTGTGGTCTTTTATGTGTAGGGTTGCCATGTCCCGCAAACTCAAAGGCGGGGGAGGCTCCGACGGGTCCGGGAGCCGGATGCACGCGCACAAAGCGACGCCCCCAACAGAGCGACGTGGCTGCGTCACCTCTGGTGACGCAGCTTTGGTGGGCGGAGTTCCCCCCGGGGCCCGATTCTGCCGTGGCGGAAATCGGGCCTCCAAAGCGGGGGTTTCCCTGCCCCCCGCCCCCACTTGGCAGCCCTATTTATGTGTGTTTTTAATAATCATTGTTATATTTACATTGTCAACCACGTTCAGTTTTACAGGGTAGAAAGGCAGCTAATAAATGTTTCAAATAAATAAGTAAATAAAATAAAAGCCATGTTCTACAAGACATATCACGAAACTATAGACTTTTAGATAGATAATTTCATGTACTGCAATACCACTTGGAATTATACAGCGCAAGATACTACATTGTAACCAGTGTTCCCTTTAAGATGAGTTAGTGTGAGTTAGCTCACAGTTTTTAAACTTCCAGCTCACACATTTTTGATTTAGCTCAGGAAGGATGGCTCCAGAGAAAACTAATTTATGCAGTAGCCAAATCGCTCACAATACTCCACAGCTTAGAGGGAGCACTGATTGTAACATGTCACAGTATTATGTACAGATTTATATCTGACCATATATGAACTTTGTCACACATTATACCTTATAAATATATCTTTTTTTCAGCAAATAAATAAAATTCTGAGAAATTCCAGCAATAATTGGATTTCTGTTGAGGACATACCTTGCAGGTTCAAGTGAAATGGTGAACTCCAGTCACTCCAGAGACCAGGTCCATAAATACTCTTGCATCGAACTTGAACTACATATGAAGAATCAAGCAGGGTATTGCTTAGGATCAATGAGGGTTCCATGGTAATTTCAACTGCCTGGTTAAATTATTTAAATAAACCAACATATTAATCTTTGTGTTCTACAATTTAGTTAAATATATATATATATATATAAATAGTGGCCAATCAACATTAACAAAATTTTAAAATTAACACTAGTCAGAGCTTCTTTCTGTTTTTTACAAATGGTAGATTATGGCCTAGATCTAAATGTGCATATCAAATCTTTTCTGGGTCCTCTGTAAACCATAGCCTCTTGCACCTTCCCCAAATCGCTGATTATTAAAGACAGAAGAAGTCCTATTAATAGTTTCTGCTCATCAAAGGGACTGTTTGGATTCTGACCATACCCATGCTTAATTAGCACATGGTTGTAAACTGCATTTAGAGAATGGATGTCTCTAGGCAGTTTAGGCCGATGATATATGATTACACATAAATTAAGCCACCATCTTTTATTCCCAAACCTCATTTTTAAAAAATAATTCCTTGTTTAAAAGCTACTACAGTGTGAGCCAGTGGAACAACAATGAATAAGTCTTGCTGAAATAGCAGCTCAATCCCACTTGTTTCAAGGTAATTTTCAAAAGATTGTGCCTTGGCTATGCGAAAATATGAAGAGATAATGCTACTGAGTGGAGTAGCAGAGTGGAGCTTGCAGAACAGGATTTTCTCATCTTTCTCCATATTGCTGCAGCCTACTTAGCCACTTGTAATGTTGTTCTTTGAGGCTAAGAGGCTCTCACGAACAGCACAGGTGCAAAGTAGGAAGGGAATCAGCAGAAATCACTCCCTCCACCCACCCAGTCAATAGAAGTGCACTTTTGTTGTCAGAAGCAGACTGTAGGAAACAAAATAAAAACATCAGTTACCATAAGAATATTATTCTAGTAAGTCTATAACTATTGTATTGCATTACAGATTTTTTCAGAATTTCTGATAAATGATATGTTGAAGATCATTTGATGTTAAATGAGTATCAGTTAGAACCTATGATGCACCATAGAATTACTCCATTTAATAAAAATACCAAAAGAGAAAGGAAACATTCACCTGATAGACATTTTCAGTCATATTCGCAAAATATTTTACTTCATACTGAAGTGGATACAATTTTGGTGATGGGTTAGACCAAGACATCTTTAACTGTCCTTTATCTGTCATTTCTATTTTCACATGTAATGGAGGTTCAGGTTTTACTGTAACAAATTACAACCAACATTGTACTTGTTAGTTAAGATGACTGATATGTATTTATACTATCTTGGTTTTCTACATTGTTTGTTTCATACATATATATACAAACAGAAGAAAGCCAGCATTTAAAATGACATAGTAACTAGGTCACACTTTTTAACCCATTTTGCCTTAAACTACAAGGAGCTTTCCTACTGCTTCATGTCCCAATACAGCAGAAGAATTTCAATATATTATTAAATGCTTTGCTGAAGTGCGGCTGTGGTCTGAAACAGTTGTAGTAGCAGCAGCTTGCTCTGTTTCCAAAGGCAGCAAAAAGACCACAGTCGGAATGTAGCCATGAAACGGGGCCTCAGGTTAGGGTTGTAGTATTAAGAGAGTTTTTAGAGATGAAAATCACAGAGAAAATGGGTAACTGAAGGTAGAACTTTATATAATATCACCTACCCCTAAATCTCATGGGAGAATAACAGTATTTCCTTGTTTTTACTTGCAATACGATTTTCTATTAATTATAACTCTAAACATAGGAAATCGTAGTATGATAGTATGTTCAAAATTACCCAGCAGTTTTAAAGGTAAACTGAAATTTGAATCCAAATATCCCAATGTCCCAAATATCCCATAGTTAATCACCAAACATTGCTAAATTGTCTTAGTTTATACACAACGAAATGATTCAATGCTATCTCTGTACACAAAGTATTTATAAACAGGCCTCTGGATCCATCTTCAGCTAACTCAATGTTATTAACAAAGTGGGGCTAAGGATAATGATAACTAACCCACCTGAAATAGATTACCTACTGCTAGACTAATAAAGTTTATTAATGCAGATAGTTTACAAAAATTAGAACCAATGGGGTAATGCTACATGGAGCTACCATCTGCTTTACTACTTACAAATTTGGAAACAAGAATAGACCAAGACATATAAGTGATATATTTGATCTGAAGCCTCTGAGATATGCCATGTGCACTTGCTACAAACCTACTTCTGTGCCCTCCCTGGCTATCCAAGGCCGCGGTCACACGGAACATTAGCCACGCTACAGAGATGGAAGATAGGTAGATTTTCTGGGGCGATCAGACCACCACATCTGGAAAGCGTAGAGCTCCTGTGCCGAACCTGAGACTTCCCACCGAAGATGTAGGGTAAAAAACTAGTACCTCCAAGGTACTAGTTTCTGGAAAATGCGGGGCAAGGGTGGGCGCCTGATCGCGTTTCGGGTGGAATCCCGTGGCATCCGGCACCCGCCCATGTCCCGTCGCGAACAGGTTTTTTCCCCCAAGTCTCTACAGGATTCGCACAAGTGCCCAATGGCACATGCGCACAAACAGGCCCCCTCCCACTGCAGCCAGGCTTGCCGCCTCTGGAGGGTCGCTATGGCCACTGTCACACAGGCGGTTAGAGCGGCTGTGACAAAGGGGCCCATCTCCCCCTCCATTGGCTATGCCTCGGAGCTCTGTTGGGGTCTGGAAGCGTTTGTCGCCCTCTCTGGTAAGCCCACCACCCGCCTTCGGATGTGCAGATACGATTGCTCAGTCATGCGTATGCACAAACTTCAGTTTTAAAAAAATCCATCCTGTTTGCCATGGAAGCGGCGCCTAGCGATTGCTGGTGTGATCGCGCTGCACAGCTTCTTTGCCGCGCTGCAGGATCATCGTGTGATCGGCACCTGCCCCCTAACCACGGGACCTCCACGGGACCTCGAAGGGACGTCTGATCATGCAACCGCGCGTTATTTTCCTCCGGGGCAAACAGCCACGCTTCCCCCACACATTGTCCGGCCCGTATGACCGGGGCCATTGTCAAGTATGTCAGGTTGCAGTGCTATCAACTGGCTGATCAGGGTGCTGGTATGAAAGCACTCATTGCTGGAGTGTATATCTTTTTTTCAGTTTCAATTATTTTGAGACCCCTACATTCTAAATTCTGCACAAAATAGTAGCCCCCCCCCCAAGATAACAAAAAAACGCAGATTAAAAATAATTGTTTGGGTCACTATTATAGGCAATATTTATTTACCTTTTCTATTTAGAACTTGTCATTTTATATTTAATGAAAAGCCTATCTATACCGTGAAGCTCAAAACATACTGATTTCTTAACCAGTCCTACCTAAAAAGCAAAAATTCCCAAGGGCCTTGATTAAAAAGAGAGAGAGAGCACTGTTTCCTAAGGTAATATGAGAACCTGAAGTCCTAATCCAATTCTATCTTTAATACACTTGATTTATATAGATAATTACCATGATCCTGAGAATACAAAAGTGATAACACAGTATACTATATAACAACCAAAAAAAGCACTGTATAAATAATGCAATCAAAGGCACTATGCTGAAGTGCAAAGGAACAAAGAATATTTATATAACACAATGTGTACAAACAGATACAATATAGTTTATACATATGACATACAACAACACAGAGTGTACAAAAGAAGCCGGCACACAGGACATAGGATGAAGAGACAAAGACTCCAGATTCCAATCTTCGTTTCGTTGATACTTCTTCAGTTGTACCATACAGCTACAATAATAATAATAATCAGCTTGGCAATTAATACTAATATTTACAACCTAATCAAAGATAATTTATGAAGTCACAATATTTACCTCCATCTTTTTGTTGTTGTTCAGTCACACAGTCGGGTCCGACTCTTCGCAACCCCATGGACCAGATCACGCCAGGCCTTCCTGTCTTCCGCCGTCCTCTGAAGTTTGCTCAATTTCATGTTCATTGCATCTATGACACTGTCTAACCATCTCATCCTTTGCCGTCCCCGTCATCTTTGACTTTCCATCTTTCCCAGTATCAGGGTCTTCTCCAGTGAGTGCTCCCTTCTCATTTGGTGGCCAAAGTATTTGAGCTTCAGTTACATTATCTGGCCTTCCAGAGAACAGTCAGGGTTGATTTCTTTTAGGATTGACTGATTTGATCTTCTTGCAGTCCAAGGGACTCTCAAGAGTCTACTCCAGCACCATAGTTCAAAAGAATCTATTCTTCGGCACTCGGCCTTCCTTATAGTCCAACTCTCGCAGCCATACATGACTACTGGGAATACCATTGCTTTCCTCCCAAGGAGCAGGCGTCTTTTAATTTCATGGCTGCTGTCACAGTCTGCGGTGATCTGGGATCCCAGGAATGTATATTGGCATATTTAGTAAAAAGGTAAAGGTTCCCTTGCTCGAAAGCCAGTCGAATCCGACTCTAGGGTTGCGGTGCTCATATCTGTTTCAAAGCCGAAGAGCCAGAGCTGTCCAAAGACATTTCCATGGTCATGTGGCCGGCATGACTAAACACCAAGGCACATGGAACGCTGTTACCTTCCCACCGAAGTGGTACCTGTTTATCTACTTGCAATTTCTTGCTTTCAAACTGCTAGGTTGGCAGGAGCTGGAACTAGAGACAGGAGCTCACTCTGTCATGCGGCAACTCAGGTCTTGAACTGCTGAACTACTGACCTTTCACAGCCTGCAGTTCAGCCTCTTAACCACTTGAGCCACCGCAGCTCCATTGGCATATATGCCAACAGTTAAAATAATTAAAAACAAGATAAAACAATCAATAATTGCTGGGCTGATTATTATTATTATTGTAGCTGTATGGTACAACTGAAGAAGTATCAATGAAATGAAGATTGGAATCCGGAGTCTTTGTCTCTTCATCCTATGTCCTGTGTGCCGGCTTCTTTTGTACACTCTGTGTTATTGTATGTCATATGTATACACTATATTGTATCTGTTTGTACACATTGTGTTATATAAATGTTCTTTGTTCCTTTGCACTTCAGCATAGTGCCTTTGATTGCATTTATACAGTGCTTTTTTTGGTCATGATCCTGAGAAACCTGCAGGCAAGCCAGATATATTTGTCAGAATAACAAAAACAAGACGGAACAAAAAAATTGTGCAAAAATCAACTGTATCCAAAGACAGTTTCACATATTCTTTCACAGAGCTGATATTCATGTCTCCATACATCATGCTGCAAAACTGTGAGTGCAAGGGCCTGAACTTCTTTATACACAGAAGTAAAAGCAGTAGTTGGGTCAGACAGCTTCTCAGATTAAAGACAAAGAAAAGAAAGTCTGAAATTGTCATAGAGCCTTCAGGACATGGCATGATTTTGGATACAATTTTTGAGTTAGCACAGAAGTTGTGTTTGCCTCTTTTAAAAAAACAAGTGAGAAGATTTTAGTTTTAATTGTGGCCTACAAGGTCTGACAATGTCGAATTCTGTTGTCATATGTACTGTTGATATGATTTAGAAGTTCAAATACAACAACTCCGCTCCAGTTAACACTAATCTTTCACATAACACTCCACATCAAATTGCTCTTTTTATATAGGTTACTAATTAAAAGGCACATTATTTAAACCAAGAATAAGATTTGATTGGTTGCATAAGGTGCTCAGCATATGCCATGAGATGCTCTACACTTGCCCCCAATTCATTTTTGCCCCTGTAGCTCTTCACTACACACTCCTGAAAAGATGTTACTAAAAGTCAGGGGCTATTGTTATAACTCAAGTTATTTTATACCTGGCAAGAAACGGTCGATTTTCTGCCTAATGAGAAGTTTCAGTGACTATTTTGTAAAATCAGCTTCATGCAAACAGAATGAGGAGTTTCAGACAGACGATATAATCCGGAAGAGGAACGGTTCCCAAACGGTTTCTGGTCTGTCATTTCAGACAGAGCCGTTTTAGAACCAGTTCCCTACTGGAATATATTTGTAAATTCAGACACAAACGCTTCTGTCCCATTTAGGAAATGGGGCTGAAGCGTTTTACCTGTCAACCATTTCCAAGTAGTCTTCAGTTTCCTCTCCCAGATCCGATGTGCTTTTTCCCACCGTTTTTCGCCCACACGGGCGATCTCCGGCTTTTTTTTTTGAACGTTCGCTTTATAGCATTATAGCGCTATAGTGCTAAAATGCTGTAACGTGACAGCATTATATCAACGCCATTGAAATGCCTGGAGTGTTTTGTTATAGTGCTATAGTGCTCTAAAGTGAATGTTCAAAAAAAAGCTGGAAATCGCCTGCACGGGCGAAAAACGGCGGGGGAAAAGCGGGAAAAAGTGGTGCAGTCTGAAATGGCAAACCACTTCAGATCCAATTCTTTACCGGAAGGGAAAAGCCATGTGTGAAATGGCAGCCCTATACCGCTTTACTCCATGACGGATCAAAAACGGCTTCAAAACGGGTTAAAAAGGGTAATGTGAAATTCCTCAATGGTATAAAGGAAAACCCTTTGTCTATCCTGAACCTACTGCCCATCAGCTTCACTGGATGCCCTCAAGTTCTAGTATTTTGGGAGAAGGAGAAAAATTCTCTTTGTCAACTCTCTCCACCCCATGCATAATTTCACAAACCTCTATCATGTCCCCCCTCAGTTATCTCTTTTCTAAACTGAAAAATCCCACACTCTTCAGCCTTTCCTCATAGGGAAGGTGCTCCAACCCCCTAATCATCTTGGTTGCCTTCCTCTGTACTTTTTCCAGCTCTGCAATGTCCTTTTTGAGATAAAGTCACCAGAAATGCACACAGAATTCCAAATGAGGCAGCACCACAGATCTATACAGAGGCATTACAATACTGGCCATTTTATTCTCAATCCCTTTCCTAATAATCCCTAACATAGTGTTTGCCTTTTTAACTGCTGCAGCACACTGGGTTGACACTTTCATTGAGCTATCCACTATGACCCTAATATTTTTTCCACTCAGTCTCAGCAAGTTCAAACCCCATTAGCCTATACTTGAAGCTGGGATTTTTGGTCCCAATGTGCATCACCTTACACTTATCAACACTGAATTTAATTTGCCATATTGTTGCTCACTCATCTAGTTTGTGGAGGTCCTCTTGGAGCTTTACACAGTCAGCCTTGGTTTTCACCATCCTGAATACCATCTGCAAACTTGGCTACTACACTACTAGTTCCAGATCATTTATAATAAATTAAATAGTACCGATCCCAATACTGATCCTTGTGGGACATCACTGCTTACTGCCCTCCATTGTGAGAACTGTCCATTGATTCCTACTCTTTTCTTCCTGTCATTTAACCAGTTTTTAATTCATAAGAGAACCAGTCCTCTTATACCATGACTGCTAAGTTTACTCAGGCGTCTTTGGTGAGGTACCTTGTCAAGAGCCTTTTGAAAGTCCAGGTATATGATATCTACCATTGTCTACATGCTTGTTCACTTTCCCAAAGAACTCCCAAAACTTGGTGAAGCTGGACTTCCCTTTGCAGAAGCCATGCTGATTTTCCCTCAGCAGGCTTTGTCCCTCTATGTGCCTAACAATTCTATCTTTGATTACAGTTTCTACTAATTTGCCTGGGGCGAACATTAGTCTGACTGGCCTGTAATTTCCTGGTTCGCCTCTGAATCCGGATGTACTCATAGCGGATAAAATAGCGACGCAAATAAGAAGGGATTACATACCAAACAAGCAAAATGATTTTGTAGAAAAATGGTATACTGTTTTAAATTATATAAATGCGGGGCAAAATAAAGCTTATGTCATTCCGGAGAAATACTCTAAGATTGCACTATATTAAAGGTTAAAGATGGGATATATAGCTATGGAAAAAGGAAGTGTATAATGAGATAGTTGTGTCTATCCTAGAGAAATGTTCTGTATTAAAGTTAAGGTTATATACAGGGGAGAGGGATAAAAATTTTGTATTGTAAGTGTTGCAGCGTTGTATTGATGTATTGTTGTTTATTCTATATTTAAAATTAATTTAAAAATTTTTTAAAAAAGTTGCTTATGCCTGTCAAGCTTCAGTTTCATTTTTCTGTAATTCACTTCACTGCTTGCTATACTTTAGGGGAGAGGGAATTCCTGAGGGAAGTGCAGATGTTGTTTGGAGTGGATGCTTGTAGAAACCATAACCATTTCTTAACCTGTTCCCCAGTGCCAGTTCCCAAGGGAGCTGGCCTTGGAGTCTTCTCTGCCAGGCTAGAATGAGATAAGGCACCGTATATCTGTCAGGGTTGCCATAGTGACCTAGGGGCTGGATGATGACGTGTGCATGGGACGTGAGGTGCTGTTTCTCATACCTATAACTGGGGATTTTTCATGCCTTTCCTCAGTTCTGACACAGAGCATGTTTCCAAAAATAAGCATATCTCAATAAACTACTACTGCTTAACTGTGACAATGCCACTTGAAAGTACCAAAATGAATTTGTTATCTGATTGATTAATTAAATAGCAGGAGTAAAGCATTCACCTTTTTAACACTAGAATTCTAATTTTAATGGAACAAGTGTCATACTAACAAAAGGGATGATAAATAATTTTTAGAGCTGTCCAAATACATCCAGTATTTGGATACATTGCCAAATGTCTCTGTTTATATTGAGTGTTAGAGACTAGAATCCAGCTGGTGGTAGGAGTGTGGAGAGGTATCTTTTAAAAAATACCTTTTGATAGGGACTTTTCTGTGACTCTAGAAAGTTTTCTATATTGACTTAATATTTGTGGCTTTTCAGATACATAGAAAGATGTTTGGATATAACAACTGAAAAATCCAAATACTGTAAACAAATGCTTAACCCACAGTGAGTTTTACCTGGAACAGTTAAGCATCTGAAGACCTGTTGACTTTAAAAGGAGAGATGTTACTTGTGGGATTTTTTTAAAAAAATGCTTAACTTTGTCCAAATTGTCCCCTGTGTGCTTGTCCTCTGTGTGTTTACCCATTTTTATGTATCAGTTCATATCAGTTTAGTTTGATACATGGTCTGCTCAAAAAAATATTAATAAAAGCAATAAAAACTACCATGTACAATACAAAGACCAACAAAAGAGACTTACACACACCATTATATTCCAGCATTTCAAATTTCTTGTACACATTTAACAGTAAAGGGGGTCAGTTATTTGAAGACTCAACCATCTGCTTTCATACTGTGCATGCCATTATACAAAATTTTGTTACATTGTAATTTCTTTAGAAGAGTTTGAAAGGAGAAGGTACATGTAGACTTGATCGGACCTTTCTGGGAATTGATTAAAATTGGCATAATATATTAGGAATGTATATCATTAAGGACAGTGTAATAATACATTTTATGTATAACTGTTAAGATTAGTATGCAAAATTAATATCATAACATGACCAAAGTGAAGGGACACTCTTTGAAAATGTGTTTACATATCCTTTTAGAAGAAGAAGAGATTGGATTTATACCCCGCCCTTCACTACCCAAAGGTGTCTCAGAGCGGTTTACAAACTCCTTTCCATTCCTCTCCCCACAACAGACACCCTGTGAGGTAGCTCGGGCTGAGAGAGCTTTGACAGAAACTGCTCTTTTTCAAGAACAGCTGTGCCAAGGTCATCCAGCAGGTGCAAATGGAGGAGTGGGGAATTAAACCTGGTTCTTCCAGATTAGAGTCCACGCACTTAACCACTACACCAAACTGGCTCAAAGAGTCTTAAAAATACTTAACTCTGCTGGATCATACCTTCTTCAGTATGGATATGGATTCCAGATGTCAAGAATATAGATACATATGATTAGCATTCCCTTCAAAGGTACCCAAATTCCTGTAAAAAGGCTTTACCTCTTCAGTTTTGCAAAGCAATGTCTTCAATCACCAGCTACTACATTAGTTATAGCAGTTAGTTAGTTATAGCAGTCCCTTCATGGATCCAAAGGGTGCAGACCCTTTATGCCCCTGCTCCCAGTACACATCCCTAAAGGAGGCTATGGGATAAAGATATCCCCTGCTCATATAAGTTACTTAGTATAAGGCCAACCTACATATTTAATGAGTTGAGTCGGGTTCTACCAACACAACTCTTATTCCACTTAGGCAGCTGCTGGGAACGAATTTCCGAACCATTGCAGAGCCCTGATTCAGACTGGGAGCTCTTCCGCTCTCTCATTTCCATTGCTTGTGTGTCCCTATTGCTTTGGTGTGTGGGGAGGGTTTCTTTTCCACACATGTTTTGCTTCCTTTAGTGGCTGATTAAATATTACATTGCTGTATGTCCGGCATATCACTCCACAGATTTAAACTGCAACCAAAATGAGAATGTGGAAGAGCCCTGGACTACAGTGTGAAGGGAGAAGGGTTATCAGCCTTACCTCTGCACTGTGAGCCAAACCAGCTTCCAAGGGGAAGTGTTTTCCCTGTTAGAGGGAAAATGAGCCTCCCTTATGGAGCAAATAACATCCCTGAGGGCTAGTTTGGTGTAGTGGTTAAGTGCGCAGACTCTAATCTGGGAGAACCGGGTTTGATTTTCCACTCCTCCACTTGCACCTGGCTGGATGACCTTGGGCAAGCCATAGTTCTGACAAGAGCTGTTCTTGAAAAAGAGCAGTTTCTGTCAAGAGCTCTCTCAGCCCCACCTACCTCACAGGGCGTCTATTGTGGGGAGAGAAAGGGAAAGGAGTTTGTAAGCCGCTCCGAGACACCTTTGGGTTGTGAAGGGCGGGGTATAAATCCAATCTTTTCTTCTTATTCTTCTCTTCTATCTTAGGTTGGGAAACTCATTAAAAAACCAGAATATCTAGTTTGGTCATAGGTTCCAGCATAAGATCTGAATATACCAAAAATCTACTACTATTGTGAGACCATCACAACAAATACATTTGACATCTAGCACACTCTGGAGTACTGCAAAGGACTGTAGGAAACTACCTGAAATTGAAACCAGTCTGTCTTTTCTGGATGACTACAATGTTACACAGTGCTGCAAGTGCTGCAATACTGTAAGACATAAATACTAAGAACTTCCTGTTGCCGTTGCCAACATTTTAGTACTACTACATTACAAACAACTGGACTCACATAGCTGGGTGCCTCCTTCAGCGTATATTGTGATTCTATGCTCTGTCCAATGGAATGAAACTTACCAATATCTAATGGCACGAGCGACATTAATGGTGACTGGAGCAATGCCATTCCATGTGTGATCTTGAGCCACATAATGTAAGTGTGGTTGAGTCTCACTGAAGGTATCTGACATTTGTATTTTTGGTGTTTTACAGCAATACAATGAGTAACTGTGAAACTGTTCTTTAGTGAATTTGTAGAGTTGCTTTCCAATGATACATCTGTTCTAAATTGGAAAAGAAAATTAAACCCATCAGTTTTTTTAAGTATCATATCTAGAGCACTCTATTAGATGTTGTTTTAGAATACATTCATTCTTTCAGTTAAGAACCCTGTTAAAAAAGGTAGAGATTGCTGAAAATGTCAGCACATCTCTTTACTTGTACAAGGAAGATAGGGTGCTTATGAGCCCCACCTACCTCACAGGATGTCTGTTGTGGGAAGGGAAAGGAGTTTTTAAGCCACTCTGAAACTCCAAGTGAAGGGTGGGGTATAAATCCAGTCTCCTCCTCCTCCTTCTCCACTTCCTCTTCTTCTTCTTCTCTCTTCTCTGAAAGCCCCCATGGCTTTTCCCCTTTTCCTGCTTCTTTTTCTCCTTCCACTTGCCAACCAAGGTACCTTATTCTGCACCATCTTCAGCTTTCCCTCCTTCCCTCCCCACAGCAGCCCCTCTGCAGGAAAAATCTGGCCTAGTTACATGGAGCCAGCCATCAGGCTGAGACCCAGTTGTGCAGAGTAAGCCACCAGGCTGAGGCCTCGTTGCACAGTGGGGAACATGCAAAAATTTGCAGGGGGGGACTTAACTTTCCCATGTATCCTTCCCCATATTATTTTCTCTTTTTTTCTCTTTCCCTTCTACTGGAAATTTAGGGTTGCCAGGTCTACTCACCCAGCCGGCGGGGGGTGGGAGGGAACCTTCCAGGAATGGGGAGGATGGGGTGACATCGCTGTGCATGATGTTGTCAGTGCAAGGATGGCATGCAGAAGTGACATCATCATGCTGGGTACATCACGTGATCGTGCACTAGCATTTTGGTCAAAACTCTATGGTTACCACAGAGTTTTGGCCCAAATGCTAGAGTGTCACTGCATAACATCACTTCCATGTGATGTCATTGTGCTGAAAACATTGACATGAGAGGGGGCTGTTTGGGTGTGGGGCTTCCCCCACTGGCCAGCTGGCCAGTGGTAGATTGGAGCCCCTGAAATTGAGGGGACCCCCACCCTAGGTGAGGATCCCTTCTGGCGCCCCCTCCCCCGTGCGCCCACCAATTTTCAAAAAATGGCAATCCTATGGAAGTCCCATATCCTCACATTTCCTGCTTTCTTCTCTCTTTTTCATACACCTACAAGCAGAGCCGGCCCCAGCTTATTTTGCACCCTAGGTGAGGATCCCTTCTGGCGCCCCCTCCCCCGTGCGCCCACCAATTTTCAAAAATAAATGCATTTTAGGAAGAATGAAAAACACAAATAATCAAGAAACTTCCAGAGTATGGGGCTGGGTTCAGTTTGGTGCCCCTAAAGGCCGTCCTGCTCTAGGCAATCGCCTAGTTCGCCTAGTGAGTAAGCCGGCCCTGCCTACAAGGAATACCAGAGTCATGACCTGAAGACGGGCAATGGCAAACCACCTCTGAATATCTCTTGCCTTGAAAACCACACAGGGTCACCATGTCAGCTGTGACTTGACAGCACTTTCCTCCACCACCTATCTTTTATCTGCTGCCTCATCTTCAGCTATATTTATAATTTATTTGCTTCATCTTCAATTACATTAATATTTATTTATTTCATATATATCCAGTTTTTCTCCCAACAGGGAACAAAAGCATCTTACACCATTCTCTTCTCCATGTTATCTTCACAACCCTGTGATGGAGGCTAGGCTGAGAGCTTGTAAGCTTCCACAGCCAAATGGGGATTCAAACCTGGGTCTCGCAGATCCTACTCTGAAACTCTAACCACTACAACACACTGACTTTTGTGGGGTGGCTGCTGTTGAACAATGACAATCAGCTGGCCTAGGTGAGTCATGCAAATCTTGTGCTATAAATCCTCCCTCAAAGGCCAAAACAGTCCTGGAAAGGGCCATACCTCCATCCCTGCCTTTTGCTGATAAACACCAAGGCTTGAAGACTCCTGTTTAACAGCCCCCTCCCCATTTATTTATTTATTTATTTATTTATAGCTTTCAGATTTTCCTGCAAACCTTTTCTCATGTTTGTAGACAGATCTATCTTGTCTGTTCAAGGCTCCAATCTCCAGATCTAAGTTTACATAGATGGGGTCAGGTTGAAAATTACATATACTGGCGGTGGTGGTGGTGGGGGATCCCATGAGAAACTCAGAAGGAAATTCCTTCATTGTCCCTGCTTTGCCCTCTGGCTTCTGACACCTACACCCAGTCACATTTCTCTACTCTTTCCATCTCCTCCTCCCATTTTTCCTTCCACACCATACACCTTCTTCCCACTTATGCCCAACATTGGTTCCCGCTGCCCCCTTTCATCAGTCTGACATTCCTGCCACCCTCTCCTCTCCTGGCCTGTCCTCACCACTCTGCCTGTCTACCCATCTTCACCATTCTGCCCATTCACCCCCACCTCCTCATAGCTCTGCTTGAGCCCCTTCACTGCTTCAACTCCTTATAGCCCTGCTTGAGCCTCTTCACTGCTCAGGCTACCGACCCATCACCTCCTCACTCTGCCTATCTACCCCTTCCTCACCATTCTGCCCTCCTACCCTTCTATTCACTGCTCTTTGTCATTCTGCCACCCATTCACCTCTTCCTTGTCATTCTGCCTGCTCATCCTGCCTCCTCATTATTCTGCCTACCCCCCTCCTTGCCATCCTGCCTACCTGCCCATCCACCCCTCTCCTTTCTATGAGCCCCACACAGGCAGATAACCCTCCTCACTTGCTCCACATCATCTCCTTCTTTACCTAGACCCATCATGGTAGTGCAGCCCCCTAAAATTCTGTGGAGGAACTCAGCATGTCAGCTCAACCTGCAGATCTCTCAGGCACAGGCCTGTGGGGGGAGGGGAAGGAGAAAGAAGTGGCAACACTGCCTCTTATGAGCAGCTCTCACTCTCAAGGTGAGCAGCTTTCACCTCCAAAGATAATAAGAGGCAGCAACAGCAGCTCCAATAGAAGTGTGTTGCATGTGTATGCACAAGCACTCCTCTGTCCATCAAGTTTGCAAAAAAAAATTGTAGCATGTAGATCAGGGCTGTGAAACATGCGGGCCGGGGCCCGGATGAGGCCCCCGGAAGGCTTCGATCAGGCCAGCAGTGGAACTGACTGTCTTCTGCTTCTTCTTCTAGTTTTGCTGCTGCTGCGTCATTGTAGGTTTGCAGCTTACAGATACACACCTGAACAGCATACTCAAGATTGCAACAGCACAGACATTTTGATGTAATAATTCAAAGCAAGAGGTTTCAGTTATCAGACACTGTTAAATAAACAAAATATTGCAAGAGTGCTAATGTTTTAAGCACGTTTTAAAGTTTAAAAAAACCCTTTGTGTTTGTGTCCTTTATAAAGTTTATATCTCTGCTACCTGGCATTACATTTTATGACACACATGGCCCGGCCCAAAAAGGTCTCATTTATGTCAGATCCGGCCCTCATAACAAATGAGTTCGACACCCCTGCTGTAGATGGCCACAAATTTAAGTGTCTGCAGATTTGGCTATGTTGAAAATTAGATTACACACACACACACACACACCCCATCATGACATTTCCTCTATAATAGCAAGCCTATGCAACTCGTGCTACCTATGGCAACCAAGTCATTAGAATAACATACATAACTCCACACCTTTGATACGGCTGCAGCCTGATGCAGCTAATAATTGAATAATCAGACAAAAGTAATACAATTGGAACCTTGCTTTGAGACTGGTGGGAGGAGGATGGTCCTCCTGCAAGAAAAAAATTCTTGTAAAAAGATTTGTTCTATTTGTTTCTTTGAAAAGATTTTAAATAATGCGTAGTGGGAAAAGGTCATAAAAACTAAACATTTGGAAATGATGGTATTATGTTTTACTGTAAAAGGGGTACTTGCATAATTATTTATTTTTAACAGGCACATTAATCCTTATAAAAATGACAAAAGCCTTTAAAACCTTTGCAAAACTAATTGTGAAATTCAGAGCTGTGCAGCAAGTAATGTCACTAGCCTTGGCCAATAGACACCTACAACAACCATATGCATGGCAACCCCTCTCTCATTTCCTAACGGGAGGGAATGTGTTTTCCCAATTCAGCCTGAACTATTCACAAGATCCATAAATAGACCACAAAACCTGACTGAGAAAATTCAGGATTGTATTGTAGGTGACAATGGCATGATAGGACTACTCCCACCATCTAGTTAAATTATAATTACTATGTTTAAAACTGCCCATAAATTATTCTTGTCATGTTACAGATGTTTGGTTGATTTTGAAAATACAGTTTTTGGTTTGTTGTTAGTTTGCTTCTACCATCCCACAAAGAAAAATGAACAAATTCATTTAAACCCAAGCACGGCTACTATCACTTTGGATTCGACTCTGGAAAATACTCAGTTCTTGGCTTTTTAGTGTTCTGTTTTGTTCCCTCTACAAAATGAAACAAACTCAAAAGACCTTCTTTGGCTGAGCTCTCTAAATAATTTTGTTTTTATGCCTTTTGTATATACTGGAATGTTACTTGAAACAAAGCAAGAATTTCTCTGAAATATGTTCTGCTTAACAGAACCATCCAAAATGGAAAGCACAAACCGTACTAGTTTGCAAGTTCCAATGTGCACTAAAAATCTGCTACCAAAAAAGAAAATCAATTCTCAATTTAATTACCAGGAACAATAATAGAAATATAGAATCAATCTGAAATTTGCAATGGCACTATCTAAAGAACTAAATGGTTCAATATACACACCACACTCCCTACTCCAGCTGCACAACAAACCTTTTTTAAACAACAGGTTTTAAATAAATAAATTACAATAATCAATTGTTTTTTATAACTTTTTTATTGCTTTTTTCACTAAAGTCTACAAAGGGTAAGGGGAAAAGGGAGACTAAACTAAAATACAAAGCTAAAGCAAGGATCATAATACATTAATTGTAAATTAATTGTAACGATATCTTGATATTCTTCCCACGATTAAGAAATTAAAAAGAGGGAAGTTACTGATTATTATTTTGAGATCAAACTAATACAAGCATGATTAGCCAG